TCCGTTTTCAAGGACTTCTACATCATTATAATCCCTAAGTACTGCGACTCGGTCCCTGTTTTGCAGTCGACTGTTAAAATATTGGAACAAAATCTGGGGTCCGTGTTCAGCCATCCAGACAGTTCTGGATTCATAGGCCGTCCCTGATTGACGAATTTATTTTGTCATAATATTTCATTGGCAACGAAATTCATCGAGGCCTGGTAACACAGTATCCTCGAATATCTTCAATCTTATATTTACTTCATTAACTGTCTGTTAAGGTTTGTCGTCATACAGGGAGGGTGATTAGTCGTTTTTTTGTACGCTCGTTTAACAACAGCACCAAATCAGATCTAGTGAAATCGCCTTGAATGATCTCTAGTCGTTCCCTGGATTCCCTACAAGTAAGCAACTCCTCATTATGCTAAGATCGTCCTTCCATTTATTTCACTGGTTTTCCACTCTCTTCTGGCATTGTGGATAAGGTAAATAATCCCACAGGTTAATGAACTGACTTGAAAAAAACCCTTTCTTATTCAAAAATCTATAAGTATTACAATTTGTTAAAGAATTTAGCAATATTTATTCTAGATTCCCTCAAGTTTCTGGTTTTTCGAACAGTTCTTGGGATGGCATTCCATGTAAGCGAATGTCTTATGGAAGAGAATTTTTATTGTTGTGATTTTATGCATTTAGGAACTCTTATGATATCTTCGTTGTTTTTAGTGTTGTGAAAGCAATCCAGATTGGTTAATATACCCATTTTATGTGTATCCTGGTCCTGCGTCAATTCAAGTAAGAAAATGTGATTAATTTGAAATTTTTTTATCAAGAGAGGTTTAGGACAGCATTTACTGTGCACTGTTAAAACTGACGTCGTTTTCGGATATCGATTTAATAAAGCATGTCTAAAAGCCTTCTAGTTTCTTTCCGCCCACCGATGCATTGTCTCAAGGGAGGCTGAATAGTGATCTTAAACAAGTAGAACGCGCATATTAAACAGTTATGACCTAAACATAAGGAGAAATGGGGCACAATGTTGAAGTGACTTCCCAAAGCAAACAAGCTCTGAATGTGTAGCTGATGTTACGAACAGGTAACCATTTCCCGCCACTAATGGACGAAATTGTGTCGGTGGTAATTGTATTTGTCATCGACTGCTCTACACACTATGTGTTTTTAAATCTATCTCAGTTGACTTATTAATATCGTCTACTGTATGCGCGCTGTATGAATAGACAAAATGTAAGCCATCTGCAAATAAGAACATTTACTTAATAATGTGAACAACGAGGCATGCTTATACGCAAGGGGTGCAATGCAACCACACAGGGCATCCTGCAACACTTCACGAGTAAAAAGAGATGTTTTTGAGGCCCCGTTTCGGATGTATACTATCTGTTGTCAATTTCGCAGGCAGGATTTGAGAAAACCAGAAAGATGGGACGCGCTACATAATTTTTTAACCTTAATATTAGCCTTTTATGGGATGCATCGGCGAAGACTTTTAAAGATCGCAGCATATTGCAGTTAACGGGTTTCTGCCATATCTGTTGTTATGAGTTGACCCCAGCAAGATGAGATCGCAGGACTGACAAGACGTTTTGGTGAAAAGACATGCTAGGAGGGCAGTATGAGGTTAAAGTTGGTTTGGTGGAACTGGCGTACTTGTGTTAAATCTCGTGTAAAGATATAGATTGTCTGTCTGAATGTGGTTTCCGTTTGGAAGATTTATGGACCTGGGCAGTAGATTTGGTTTTTATTAGGTGCCGAACTGGTTGGTAGGTCAGAATACCTCGACCTACTTGCTTACCATGTTGAGGGTGTTTGGGAAGTCAAACCATTATTATAGAGTTTATTTGTGTCGGTAAATTCTTCTAATGAGCATTTAGAGTACTCCCTGTTTGGTAGCGACAGCGTAAGTAATAACATTTATTGGGCAAGGGAAATAACACGATTTCTAAGTGCACTTATTGGGTTTAAAATGTTCATGCTTCAGTTTCGATTTGTTGTGTGGTGAACATTTGTGTTGCTGGTTCATTTTTTAGTAGTATAATTGCAGAAATTATACTACTGTCTAGTAGTGCGACTTGACTATGTGCAGCGCTTGAGTGTATATTCTGTGCCGGTGGTGTTGGTGCAATTCGACGTTTGTTTCCTCCTAGTTTCTTAACTGTCTGTACAATCTTGGTTATATATAATGGGCGTAGTGGTTGGAGCGGTTCGCTTTATTTCCGACTTTGGGGACAGCATGTCCACAGCAAATATATTTGTCATGAAAATTACGTCTCTGTATGTACGTCAAATTTGTCCCCATGAAGGATTTGAGGCTCCGGAGGTCTTTTGTAACTCCAGAGTTGTTCAGCGCTAGTCCCATCCGGTTATTGTGTAGAGGCAGAAATAGGTCTATTTTTGTTCTTTCGATTGAGTCTAATAAGGTATCAAAGATTACAAGCAGAGATCGACAATTATCCAGAAATTTTAAAGTCGTGGGTGGACGGAGATATCTGAGTTTTCATCAGAAACTTTCGTATAATTCGTCGTTTCTAGTAAAATGCAGATAGCTGATAATTAGGCTTTAAGGTCCACATCAGTGAATAAAAGGCTTTGGAGGAAAAAAAGTTGTCTTAAAAAAACTTAAGTATAGTTTGGTGTTGTAAGTATTAGGGACTGCGCAGAATAGCTGATTTTTGCTTATCTTCGCTCCGACATTTTCGAACGGCTATGCGCCCATGGGCGAAGGAGAGAGGCTTGAGGTGAATGCTTCGTTACGAGAGACCAAATGGAGTTGTGTTCGCAAACAATGACTATGTGATTACTGATCCTGATGCTGAATCAGCAAATGCCAGGCCGCCAAACCGCGTAGGTCCAACTGTCACTTCTCTAATATGAATCAGCAACAGCAGCCTAAAGCGAGAGTCGATAAGCGTGGGACGTCATGAAATGTGGAATCGCAGCGATTGTAGTTGGAATTATGGGGCTCACCACAATACCAACATCGAAGCAAAAGACTATCAGAAAACACACCGAATTATGGGTTTATGTATAATTAAAATGAGGAAACAAGTTGTCCGGTAAGGGAACATGTCGCGCACCACAAGCAGTATGGATGAGAAAAATTAAAAAGGGGTTGATAGCAGTAGCGGTCTTCTATAGTTTAGCTACTGAAGGTGAAAGTTCGAGTTCTACGCATAAGTACAAGTAAGGAAGAGGAAGTACGGTCAAACGCCGGAAACATTTGCCCACATTTCGGAGTTCTTGGGCTCGTGCAAGAGTCCTTTTTCAAAACTACTGACAGTCGTGGAAGGGTTTTATTGCCGAACGACCAATGCTGTGAGTTAGATGACTTTGCGGGACTCTACATGCCAGGGCCAGATCGTTATATCTGTTGACCGAGCTCTAATTAGAGGCCCAGTCTTCAATCAATCCTTGACTTGTCCTGCTTCTGGTGCAGGAAATTATCTTAGCGGCTGCAAAGTTGGAGTGGAGACCCGTTTCAAAGAGGTGGGCTGTAGCCTGTAGTAAGTTGGCACCTCGTCATGTAGCTGGCTTGTATTCGTGCATGTGCTATCTAGGCCTGTGTTCAGTCTAAAATGTGCAATTGCAAGCACAGTATAGGCCCGGAATACAAGGCTCTAACTTTTCCTGCTCCATGAATTTTAATCGATCCTTGATTTTCTAGATCCTGCTGCGCATGGTAAGTTCGGGCCGGTGTGCAATTCCACAACCTAGTCTCGTCGCCTCTGGAAAGTCCGATGTCCAACCTTTTGTTCCCCGAGAAACCAAAGGAATACCGCAAATAATATTACACGCTCTGGCAAACATAAGGGTCACGATAAGGCAATAGACATTCACGCAGTAGCTTATCGAACTTATCGTTAAAACTCTCCGGAGTTCACGTGCACATCAAGAAAAGCTAAATAATTGCACATTCGCCGATCTCCAATTGGCTTCTAGGCGTCTTATATGAGCTCAGGAAATAACACGTTTTAATACACTTGCAGCAGAATGCTATGATACAAAGAAAACTCTGAGCTCCAGGATAATTCAAACATCGTGGCTTCAACTAGGAATCCGACACCTGCAGGTGGTGTACTGCAGCCCCGCTGGATCGCGCCCGTTCTGGGCAAACTGTATGCTGGGGATGCGTTAACAAAGGCAATTGCGGGTGCAGTATAATAGGGCGCGCAACCCTAAAACCAAAACGTAAATGGACAATTCAATGGTTGATTAGTTTGAATACACGAACGGCAAAGTAAGGCATGATAGAAAAGAAAAGGTATATGATATTCAGGGTGAAATGCGATGGCAAATTGCCTTTCAATAATGGCATTTCCAGTCGACTACCGTCACTATCGGCCGTTTACCGCACAATTTACCAGTCATGTAAGTTAGATGATAAGTACATCCTTAACTAATAGAACTGACTGACAACTAACTAACTAACTTAACTAAACTAGACTAGACTAACTAACTGCCCAACAAACTAACCGAAGTTTGGGCGAGCTGCGTGAGACTTCCAAATCGAGTAACCATATGCTAACTTCTTACTTGATCGACTTTTTAATGACATCTTCCGGGTCTCTCAGTGACTGGAATTATGACTCAAACACAATTTCGCAAAATTTGAAATCAGGAATAGTCCCAGAAACCGCCGCGGCTTGAGTGAAAATGTTCGACCAATCAATGTTCAGCACTCTGAAAACTGTCCGCACATCGCTTTTTTAATCACTCCCATCCATTTCATGGCGTTGCCTCAGTTGTCTCTGTCTAGGCTCACGCATGCTGCCTTTTCACCCCTGAAGACCGTTTCGAGAGCACTTCAACTGGTTTCTACAGCAGGCTTTGATCCAAAGAAGCCCCCTCCTTTTGACTATCTTAGCACTGGCTATCCGTCATGGCTCATGTTCGACAACACCACCCATCGGTTCACTGAAAACACAAAACTGATAACCGTTGAGGGAAATGTAGCAGCTGGGAAGAGCCAAGTATCTAGAAAGCTTGCAGAATTCTTTGGGATGCATCATGTACCCGACCCTACGGATGAAGACATATATGTACTTAACAATTATAATCCCCCGATTGATATCCGAATGCACAACACATTGCTACCGAAGGAAGCTCAGTACTATACGACGGAAATGTTTTGGAACGAGGATAATTTAAAAGAAAGTGGCAAGCCAATGTACCTCCAATATCAGTTTTATTTGAACCGCTACTGGAATTATTTAAAAGGCCTCTGCACCCTCTTTAATACCGGTACATCCAATTAGACAATCAACTTGATTGATCAGGCAAGGGTTGCGTTACAGAACGATGCCACTTTTCTGATATCGCTTTTGCGGAGGCTCTACTCAAATGCGGATATATATCGGAATATGGTAATAAAACATTTGCTCATTATGGACTCTCAGCTTTCGATTGGTTTAGTTACATGCATGCAAACACTGCAATTAATCTTTGGAAGCCGCACCTCATTGTGTACGTCAAGGCAACGAATAGTCAAATCCGAGAGGCCATCAAGAAGAGGGCTGTTGTAAGCTATACCCCCTTTTATTGTTGTCCTGCCCTAGTAACAAGAGTATGCCGGGTGGGTATCAATTTCTCGATGCACTTATGTCGAATGAATGTCCATTTTGTCTGAAGCATGCATACCGAGGAATATCGAATTTTGGAGATACTTCGGAAAGCGCGACAGCGGGGCGTACAATAGTTCACACGATACTTTCACTTAACTAAATCCCCTGCCTGCCTCGAATTCATTCCATATTATGTTCGTTATCCTTTTGCGTCCCTCGAAATCCACTTCTTTACCCTTAATTTGAACGAGCAATTTGCGAGTACACCAAAGGCGGACAGTTGCTCTGGAAAAACCTGGAATAGTCAACGTTTATTTAAAAGAATCTAAAAAGGTGATAGGCACATGACCCGAACGTATTTTATTACTGTTTGTCGGAGAAATTCACGTCGAAACACTGTGATGACTCGGCCGGTTGCCCTGAGGATGGGCCGGGTGTTTGATTGGCAGAAAAGATTGCTGTGAATTGGCGTGCGAGATCCGTTTACCGTTTGATTAGTTTATCGTCGGTTGTTTCTGAAGCCGTTTGCAAGGCTATCAAGCGACCGTCTCGGACGCATTGTGATTGAGAACCCAATGCCGGCAAGCGTTGCCCTGCCGCCTACACTTTGAGCCCTGAGATCCTCCACACATCGAACAGTGACGTACGTCATTGCGTACGTACCCATGACAATTTCGTAAACTTTTGACTCGAAAAGGCCTACTTTGAAGTTTATGTGTAGGCTGATCTCGTTCACAAGAAGCATGTAGAATATGCACCTGACGAAGTCATCGACTGCTCCCCGCCAAGGCACGTGAGGAAGGACGCCGAATACAATTAGTAATGGTAGCCTGCGCGTAACCTACCGGTTGATTCCGTTCCCGGAATTCCGTGGCCGATCGTAATGGCCGACCTACTAGAGTTAAGGCTACCGCAGCAGTGGTGTCAGGCCCTCAAAGAACCACGGATTCTAACTCGCGTTGCCCTCCTAGCAATTGGCGTATGCCTTCTAATGTGACATCCACTTTTGAGCGGTTCGTGCTGTTTATTGGCGCGTCAACTCCAACGTCCTCTCCATATCTGCCAACGGGTCATTAGCCGGTGGCTCAGAAAGTCTACGGACAACTTCGATTATAATCCTCAGTGGCAGGATGATGATACGGAAACATCAGACTTGCGGTATAAAGCTTATAAGATTTCGAACTACCATTTTTTATATTTTAACTTGCTTCTTTTTCGTCTAAGAGCTGGGAAATAAACGCGAAGAACCTGACAGACAACTTCTTCACTGAGTACACATTAGCTCTGGAAAATTATCTTGAACGAATGTCGCGGTATTCTCATATATTCGTCGTTGATCGCACCTCAACCAACATATTCGATGAGAATGACCTGCTGATCGTAAGTCGCCTAGTCTTTTGACTGGCTTCCTATCCTCCTGTTACAACATACCACGCATACAAAATTGGTTATTGCTTATATGCTGGCGAGTTATCATAACAACAAAATTTTGATTCGTCAATGTTAGATAAAATACTTTTTTGGCACATTTGACCATTTGTTTTTAAAATATTTAACCATTTTGGCTTTATCGGAAACTCATTCGACCTCGAAAAACTTGGATTACTTTTGTAGCGTTATTTCTGTCAGATGAAATTATGTAACTTTCCTTTTTCTAGCTTGCGGAAAAGCTCACTAATATTGACTTAGAGGGCGAAAGACTTATTCGTGACGATTACAAGTATCTGGAGTGGAGAAACGGTCTATTTAACGAGCGGTCGGCCTCTTTAAATCGTCAAAAGTGAGTTCTGTTTAACCACTGATTGGCACCTGAATTGATTTATTACTAATCACTGGGATTAGATGAGAAGGCTGATTGCTATTTTCACGTTATCGTTTTGGAGATACGGCCGCGCATCGGCAAAATACTTCTATTGTTATTTTCACCCTTTACTGATCTTCGTTTTTTGTATAGATTCTCTTCGGCCACGGTAAAGTTTTCTACTGTCTTCAAGAAGCACCGGTTTCCTTTGGATATGAAGGAAGGCATGTACAGCTTTGATGCCAAGGAACTCCAGTACTATGTTTACAAACGGGTAAGTGCACAATTCATAACTATGTGCATCCCAAATTCTACCCGCCCTACGTTGGACGCATCCGGCGATAAGTTACTATTCTCTTTTAAGAGTTCCTGCCTGTCTATTATCAGGGACTGTCTTACATTTGTACCCCTTGACTTAACGCGAAGTGCTTAGCCTACACCTGTTTTCTTTACTCTGCCTCCGCGTCTTGGAAATAATATGTCATCTTACTCTCTATGTATCGACTGTGTACTTTGTTTCTAACTCCTCAGAGCGCGAGAATAGTCGTGAATAATAGAGTACTCTGAGACTTCATGAAAATCCCGTTTGTACCATTTTTCATTTGCAGCACCGGCAGCTATCTGTGTGATTATTCTCGTCAAAGGTGACTCATACCGGCCAGAGAGAGCCTTCTGGCGCAAAATGTACCGCACTTTTTTACTCTCGAGATCCGTCATTTTTCATCTAGTACTCCCTTTTTATCCGATACCCGAGGAAAAACAACAGGCGATTTTACTCGGGAAAGATTCCTTGAATTAGTTCGGAGTATTGATGTACCTAGGCGTAATCTGCACAGTAGCTTACCGGTTTTCGTCGTAGAATCTTTACGAGTGTCTATGTCACGAACTGTACCTCTCCACGCGTAACGATCCGCGGCAGTAGATCTGGACAGCTCAACCCATTCCCTTCGCCAACGACGTAGACCGAGTACCGAAGGTCTAAGAACCACCTCCATGTCTTGACTAACTGTGTCGAGCCAGGTTTTGAACTGACCTCCTCTTCGACGCCTCTACTAGGGTAGCGGTGTCGGATCGAGAGCAGTAACACTGAGCTTTTGAGGTGGACGACAAAGAACATGCCCGAACCACCTCAGTCGTCTTTCTTGGATGGCCTGAGTTATCCTTGCGATGTTGTTGCAGCGAGCGCGGACTGTCTCATTTGAGACGAAGTCGGTGAACTTCACTCTAAGGATGGTCCTCAAGCAGTGGTGATCAGATACCTCCATTCTTTGCTCGTCCCTCGCGCGCAAAGCCCAGCATTTACAACCGTAGAGAAGGACAGACCGGACAGATGCACTGTACACGCGAATGTTAGTGGCGATGAAGAGGTGGCGTCGGATCCATAGGCATTCTCGAAGGCCTGAGAAAACCCAGCGGCAGCATCAATTCGGTAGACAATGACGTCCTTACTCCGTCCATTAGGCAGCAGCCTCGCCCCGAGGTATTTAAAACCGCCTACTTCTTTAAGTTGACAACCATTAATTTAGAGAAGTGCCTTCTCGTGGTAAGGGATGCAACTTAAAAACACTTTGGTCTTCCCAGCGTTTATGGGTAAACCGACCGATCTAGCGGCCTCGTTCACCCGTGACACCATAGACTGCAGATCACCAAAATTTGAAGCAAGTAAGGCGATATCATTGGCATAGTCGAGATCAGTCAGTCGGTGTCCGGGTGCAAATTCAACACCGTCACCTTCGTGTAGGGCCCTCCCGAGAATCCAGTCAATAGCGTAGTTGAACAGTATGGGCGACAGGATACAACCTTGTCGAACGCCAGACCGAATACCGAACGGTTGGGAAAGATTTTTGCGGACCAGGACTCTCGCAGTAGTGGAGCGATATGTAAATGCGTTTTGCTTGGACTCTTGTGTGGTCCGTCGACGTGGTGTAATAAAATCTCACATTACACTGCTAGTTTGCAGCAGATGACGTAAATCGTGAGATGTGAGTACATTTACAAAGAATCTTCAATCACTTGGAAACCGGTCCATTTGCAAGGACCAGCGCTCCAAATCGCGACCTTCGATTGAAATGAAAGTGCTATTATTTCGGTTGAAAGTAACAATTTTCTTAAGAAAAGCGGAACCGTCAGAGTCGCGAAATTTTCTGTCAAATGCCTAAACCCATTTTGTAGAAGCCTGGATAGCAAGAAAGCAAACGCAGCAACGTTTGAAAAGAAAAACTTTTGCCAATAATCTGGCTAAATTGTTTCAAGAAACTAGCGTTAAGGGTAGTGTGGTAGGTACTCAACTGCCGGATGTTTGATTGTCTTTTCCAAAATGGTGTTACGCAAATTCGATGTGAATACAGTATCTGGCCTATTTCGGAAAATTTTAATCGAAACTCTTAAATGTATTTTTGATTGGGAAGTATTACTTAGGTGGAGTTATAACATTGATTATTGTGCAACATAATTCCAGGATGCCGGCTTGACAACGCCGCACTAGACAATGAATCTTTTTGTCCGCTTAGATCAGCTGGAATAGGGTGTTAAAGTAAAGCAAACGTCTGTCACCGTTTTCATTTCCGATTTTCGCTGTGAGCGTTCATTCTTCATGTTTGGATGAGTACAAATAAGACTAAAACAACCACCTGCATTAGACAGAATGTCCCAACACTCGCTACCTCGGTAAATGCTTTCAAGGTGTATCTTATTTTGAAGGCTTTGATAAACATATCACAGAGTCTACATTTATGGTAAATCGATTGAAAACACTAGATGCCGTGCAATATTCAGCAATATTTCAAGGACGATCTGAAGCTCGATGTACTCCAGAACAAGAAAAACCTAAAAACTTGACCGAAGTCAACTTCTCTTAATACACGTTAAATTCTACGTTTAAGATTCCACTTGTCAATTCTACTCAAATTTACTAGCCACTAACCGACCTGTCACCATGTGACCTTATGAAAGCTTCTATTTGTGTGTCGTGCCTATCGGCGAACTCAAGTTAAAACCTGCTAGTCTTAGCCAACTGCATTTCAAGCAGTGCACAAACATAAAAAATACAGCCAATTCTCGTGAGACCGTTTTGAAATCTATGCTTGAGCTGTAGGCTATTGGCTAACCGCCATACCTGACATTACACTAATTATTAAGAGATATTTAAGCATAAGCTTCCTTAAAGGACTATTTTCAAGCATTATTCTACTTGTGCCGTTTTATTTACTTAATTTATTGCGCGGACAGGCTTTCTGTGCACCTAGAACTTAAGGTTATTCAGTTGCAGCGATTTTTGATGTTTTCCGAATTTACGCTTTTCTAACGACAATTATTATTTCTAAACGGCGTAATACTGTTTTTAACACTTTCTTTATTCTTCCAGTTCGTTTAAAGTTGTTCACTATAAATTTGGAATTTTGGTTCATTCGTTTGTGCCGGTTTGCGAGTAATTATCGATGTTTCGTAAATTTCTACAAATTACCAAATTTACCGCATATTGTCCGACCGCATCACAGTCCCTCCTACTCAGTATTTCCTAATTAAAAGCACATGCCAGAATTCGGGATAAAGTTTAGTGAGGTAGATTAGATACTGTAAGAAATTGCCTGAAAGTAAACGTTGGTTGGCGCCGAAAATTGTAATCGTTTTCATGGATAAAATGACTTGGCTACATTCTGCTCGAACAAAGGGTTTTTTCCGAAACGCTTAATAAGTAAACTGCTCAACGTTATATGTGCTCTGTACGAGCCATGTATATTTCGGTCATGCTTCACAATTTGCGTAACTTTTGTGTGTATAACTTGGCATTATATGAACAAACTTGAATAAACAGCGTGATGGGAAATAAGCAGCCAAACTAAAAACTTCAATGCAATTTACGCAAATCATGTAGAATTGCGCTACTCATTAAGCTGTGGACTGGCTTACTTGCGCATGTTCCATTTAGAATTTCAAATCATTTAGCACGAACGTCCCCTTTAAATGCAATTGGGATTATCTAGTTTTATTTTTTAGTTTGTTTCCGTGGAAGTGTGTTGTATCTTTGCAAGTTTTGTGGTTTGGTGCTTATTTTCGCATTTTCTTCATTTTCGTTTCCTTTAAAAAGGCTTACGTCTGCCCACCACAATACCGCTTTCGATGCCTTTTAATTACAAGTAAATTAGTTAATATTTAGGAGGGAGTGGGTCTTATTTCTGCCGGGTTTTATGTAGCCTGTGGAAGAACTGTTCTCTTCCGCAAACCTCGTGTAATGCATACTTGCAAGGGAAATCGCTGTTGCCTCGTCACATCGACCAGTGTTTCTTGTCCTGGGGTTGCAGACAAGGACCTATCGTTCTCCAACTAAAAGCTTCGTCAGAAATAACTTGTGTTTTCAGGAACTGAGCACTAAAACTGTACACAGCCACTCGTATGCGTACCGCGGATGACGAATCTTATCAAGCATCAACCGCAATTTTAACAACTGATCTCCGTGGTAAGGGGTTACTTACATAAAGTTGTAATGCCGATAATCATGCAGCCTGTCCCCGATATACTGCAGTCACGTCAAGATGCCGGCTTTTGAGTTCACGTCTCTCCAGCCATCCCCTAGAACCACACTCGCAAAAATGACGACTTAGATATTAGGAGTTTCGTCCTTTATTAAGCCCTTGATTAAGCCTTCGACATGGTCTATATCCGTTGCAAAATTTTATCAGTGCTAGATGGCTTTTTCTTCATAGTAATGAGGAATGTATGGCTGTCCTTAAGTAAAAAATTTGCAGCTTGCAGTTTGAAAATTCTAAAGATAGTTAAACTTTAAAACTATTCGGGAATTGTAAGACCTTTAAACAACAAGATACACTTCCTCGGAGTACGAAGTTTGAAAACCTCGCTTATTACAAAATTAGTGTAATAAGTATTTTTGTACATGATTTTCGGAAGATATGTTTCAGTTTATAAGCGCATCGAAAATGCCAAAAGTGTCTGCTATACAAGTAGTCCCTCCTTAACGGATGTGATTTCTGCAGGCGGCTAGAAAAACGCATTTAAAAGTCAGTATTCTGGCATGACTGTAATATCCTCAGATAATCAATATTGCAACCCTATCTAAGTAATCCATTCCAACCAAAATCAGTTTTCGGGATTCCATTTGATGTTTCAAGAAATGCGTCAGCTACTGTCGTCCTCAAAAGCATTGGAACGTCTTTCCAATAAAAAATACTAGTTACATTAATGTTACCGCTTTGTTTCGCTCGAGGGAACAAGGGTTCTGTATACCTGTGGTCGTTTTATAAATTTCACTTTCAAACTAATAACCTGTACAGTTGATTACTGCTCGGGGGATACAGTAAAACGTCCTGTCTCAATTGATTCAACAGTGAAATAACGAATTGATCTGCTTTGCGCAATTTATTACTTGGACGACTACACTTGTCCCCACTATCAGCCCCTGAAAACTTTTTGGCAAATTTAGCATTCTTGTCGGGTGAAGACTTCCTTCTGTCCTGAAACGTCTTGGCCTAGGTCGGCGGAATTATCAAAAGTGTAGTCTTTGCTTTCAAAGAGTTTGAAGTAGTCATCCGTGCCAAAATATTCTGGGTGGAGACTGGAACTTTTTAGCTGTGTGTGCAAGTGCGCCCCTGCCGTTTGCATTGCCATCGAAAAGCAACTGTCACACCATCTGATTGTGAAAATAGTTTTCCTTGCTACTTAAATTTATTAAATAGCTTGGGCAAGTTGTTTATTAATTTGTATGTGGGTTATCGGCGTGGATTAGCGTTTGGAGTTTGGGTAAGTTACCGGTTTATTGGAAGTACGGGTTGTCGGAAAGAGTTAACATTGGGCTGCAGTACCGTCAGCCTTAACCACTGACCTACGTAATCTACTTACCACCACTAAACAGCAAACATTGTGCTCCATGTGGTTTTACTGGTACGTACTTTGGTTGCGCGCCCACCGTCAGCGGAAGTGACGGTTGCTCGTTGCGGACGTAGCCACTGCGACATTCTCACTGGCTCCCTACATAAAGGCCGCTCTGTTCTGTTAGCGCTTTATCCACTGAAAGAATCATCGGTGATTGCTTAACACTTTTACTGTCCAGGAGTTCTGGGACTGCATTTTGGTCGCCTTTGTTATTCCCACCTGCCTAGCCCCCATTTTACCGATGGCCTAACGGTCAATCTGGGCTGTTATTGCGACAAGTGGATCTGATCAAAGCAAGTGTTGTCATATTTCATGTGACCTTTTGTACGACGAGGCGCGTTAAGGACAGTGGTTTCGGCCAAGCAAGGTCTGCGTCGTCGTTAGACTGCGCATCCCTGGTTGAAATTAACTAATTTATGTAAGCATATTGCCGAATTTCGATGTAAGTGTGATGTCTGTGCGTCCCCGGATGCTTGACCTCCTGCCTACCTTAACAGCTGAGTTTTTGTTTATCGGGATTCTAACTGTGGGATTATTTCGTTTATTTTTCTTGCTAACTCCATCAGCTGCCCCCCATTGCATGGGAAGACATTTCTGCAAGGTGTTATCTGAAAGAGTCGGCTAAATATACGTCGAAATTTATATACTAGCTTATTCTAGGGGCCAGCAGCATTTCCTCCCATCAGCAACAGGGTTCTGAGATTTTGGTTTTTTTCTCTGACCGACTGTTAGCAACAAGCCAGTTAGAGGCTGTCCTTTTACTTCCCCCGCCACTCAGTACATTCTATCAGTACTCGCTAAGTCGATAACTTTAACTGCCAGTGATACTTCTCCTAATTTTGCGCCAATTTCTCTGTTATCCTGTTTTTAAAGGATCCTCGATTGAAGTACGCACCCGGATATGATCCTTCGCACGACAGCCTCACACGGATTATGTTTGATCCGTGGGTGCAGAAGCGAAATTTGGCTTACGATTGGCCCAAGTACTTCCTCACCGCCTACTAGTTTTTACTGCTTCTTGACCCCGGCCCAATGTACACATCCAGTCCCCAAGGCCGTCGCCCCGCACTTCTTGCTGAAGACGCCTCCCTGTTTTGGCCGTCTTCGTCGCAAGCTCCCTTTCTGTTTGGCAGGCCAAAAAATTAGCACTTTTTAGAGCATCTTTTAGGCGTATTTCTTAGTGTTACATTTGCCACTTCTACTCCTTTACCTGTTCGTTTACGGCCCCTCGCCCTAGCGCCCACCTTGGCTTCTTAGTTTTCTTCACTGATCAGCCAATTCAAACGCAATTTTACTGGTGTCAAAACAGCTACGGTTGTTCTTTGGGCCTCTTAAATATGTTTGTGGACGCCGTGTTTACTGGGTCTTGGCTGCAGTGCGGGCTACAAACTTTCCGCAAGTCTCCATTGGTACACAAACTTGTACTTATAGTCTAGTTCTGTTAGAGGCATGAGGATGAGGAAAAGGGGGAAAAACTTGCCAGCGAGTTATTTTCGTGTTTTGTCGCCGTAACGCGACGTAACAGGACGTGGGTCCAAACATGTGGGGCCCAGATAGGGGTGAGGCAGCTCGAGGGCTTGTATTTGCTGTTCATTCTATTCAACTCTTCAGCCTCCAGCTGTGCCTATTCTTTGGGGATCCACCTACCGGCGACAAGTGGTTGTAACCGTCGGGAATCTTCATTCAAGTCAGAACTCAGTAAATTCCATCCCGTTAAATAGCAGAGGCCAAATTGCATTGGTGGTATATGTATTTTGTACATGGTGCAGGCTACTAGGAGTTGGCGATTTGCTTGTGGGTCGCAACATAGAGTATCCGTCCGTGAGCGCGGGTTGCGATGAATGTTGTGCCTGTGTGCCTGGCACGTCGGTTTCAACGCGGTTAAGTCAATAGTGTGTCGAGACGTGATTGGTGCTCTTGAGAGTTGAGATGGGGACCACACTATCACGAAGCGCAAAGGGTGAAAATCGTCAGTCGTCTGCGCACCTAACCCGGTGTCTGTGCGGCCACCGCCGTAACTCGGCACAGTTGAGCAAGAAGTGCCCCGTGTGTAACCTAAGGGTCGACTGACCGTTAGCGGCAGGGTTTTCAGAGCGGCCGTCTGCTGGCAGCCAGGCGCAACAAAACGGGCCAGTAGGGCGACCCCTACATTACCGTCGCCGCGGTTCCTCTCGCGGACTGGACCGCTAAGCGTGAAGGAGTGCTGTTTTGTCAGAGGCCGAAGCACGCGTCTAGTAAAAGACCGTACGGACGGTAGTACTGTCTGCAGGGACGTTTCGTCCTATAGTGTCAGGCCCCTCAGATAGGCTGAGTTGCTGTTGCTTAGCCGAAAAAGGACCTCATTCACCCGTGGCATACGCTGGGCGGGTAGCGCTGAGTCCTCGTGTGCCCTTGACCGGCACCGTCCATGCGCGTGACAAGCGGCAGACAGGCTTTACCCCCAGGAGGTCCACTGCGCCAATTTTATTCATGCGTCGGTCGATGGAGTTGGAAATATCACTTATTCGCAATTTGCGTGAGGATGAGGCCGATGCTTATGTATCCTTAGGATTAATTCCATGTACGGCTTCCGCACCTTGATCAGGCGCGCTTTTGACCATCGCGATGGCCGGGAATTCGTGGCTGTAAAGGGAACCACCAGACCGGGTGACCAGGTCCTCTTCCCGAACGAGGCTCAGACCGCAGTAACCCCTTAGTCTGGTCTTAATGGCCTATCTTACACCCGTAGGGTCTGCTTCTGCATGCCATTCGTTAGATGGCGACTTAGCACTGCTTCAGCCTCTGCGTCCGACGTCATTCCCAGTTGGTATTGCTCAAACTTTCACTCGTGTGTAATCGGGAACCAACAGTAAGGTTGAGTACGCTTATCCTCCCCGTCGTATGTCAGGATGTGCTAACGTTCATGGCTTAGCAGCTCTTCAATTGATAAGACGACACAATCCTTCTGCCGACCGGGGATCAAACTGCATTGCCTGCTTAGTGTGGTTTCCGTCGCTAATCTCTTCGTTAAGGTATCCATCGCACCCGCTTTGAAGGCTCCTTCATCTGGAGTCGAGGAGTAATACGCGTTGAAGTTGCCTCAGTCTCGTCAGCAACTATGCCCTCTTCTAATCGTTTTGTTGTTCAACACTAGGCGTTGGAAGATTGGAGTGGGGTAGGTTCGGCGCAGGTCCTTACCATATAAAAGACTGTGTGCAAGTCACCACCACGCCCTATCTGGGGCATTGGTGGTCCTCGTCGCTTGCGATAGGCTGCCAGTCATCCAAAATGGTGCTAGTCTCCCTGGTGTCTACTTGAGCAGCTGGTATTTAAATTTACAGGACCGTATGTACATGAGTGACCGATCTCATGAAATGTTGGCTGAAATTCTGAAATGCGTTTTCGATTAGGAAGGATTACTTAGGCCCGGTTGTAATACTGATTATCTTGCGACATAATCCTATGAAATTTTGGATTCGGCAGGATGTCAGATTTTGAATACAGTGCTTTTCGATCTCCCGTAAAAACCTTACTTGGTAAAAAAATGACTACTTAAGTAGCATGCACTCTTCCCATTGAATTTCGATGGTCTTGCAAATTCAACTATAACTTATAGAAACCATAAACAAAAATATGCCTTCTTTCTGTCGTTTGATAGAGAATCACGTCTTCTTCATATTTTATACTCAAGGAAGGAGTATAAATAGGTTTTTAAAAAAAGTTTTCAATTATGAGATTTTTTGAGATCGCGCAATGTCCTTTCACAGCATCGTATCTAGCCGTTTACCACGGCTCCTCACGAAATGTACAACATAGTCCGCATTCATTGCAAAATTTCATGGACTCTGTGTGATATCCTTTTAAAGGCATAGAAAAATACTCGATTGTCTTTACGCGGAACGCATGCACCTTATAGACAGAAATCACTAAGCGCTAATGCAACGAATGATCAGCCTCCAAATTATTCAACAATTGGAAAACTTTTTTGAAACCTAATTACGTTCCTTCCTTGAGTATAAAATATAAAGAAGACGTGATTCTCTGTCAAACGACTGAAAGAAAGCATATTTTTGTTTATGGTTTCTATAAGTTATCTTTGAATTTGCAAGACCGTCGAAAACCAATCGGAAAAATGCATGCTACTTAAGTAGTCATTTTTACCAAGTACGGTTTATACAGGAGATTGAAAAGCAGTGTATTCAAAAGCTGACATTCTGCCGAATCCGAAATGTTATAGGATTATGCCGCAGGATCACCAGTAGTACAACCGCGCCTAAATAATCCTTCCTAATCGAAAACGCATTTCAGAGTTTCAGCCAACATTTCATGAGATCGGTCAGTCACTGTATATACCGGAACCGTACACGGGCCCGGCAACAACTGTCATCGTTATCAGTGGTAGCGACGGAAAGATAGGAACCGCTTCACAGTTTCCTGTTGGATAAAGAGAGCTAGAAAGGTTTTTCTGAATTCCCCTCCCTTAACGGGGTATTTCTAAAGAGCTCATTGGAGGTTTAATGGATAGCAACCTGCCACATCTATGCATACCTTTCGACTTGCCTGGTGTCCTGTCAGCATTTACCAGACGTTTTAGTTTGTGCATCACCTGAGGCAGAAATTCCCTCCCAAGAATTGGCCATAACATCTGCTAATGCTGACAGTGTTTCTGTTCAATGAGTCGTGTGGATAACCGTAGATGTTAGAGAAATTTCGAGAGATTCATTAGTGGAAATAATTTCAGGGACTGTTTGCTGAACTTCCACTATGTGGTGAATCCCCAACTCGTTAAACGTAGGCAAAAAGGCCTCAGAATGCTTTCCTACAAATAGGGTTACTGTCGCATGATGACCCTCAAAGGAAAGTATTTGCAGTCACCTGGAATCAAAGCTTTCGTTCACATTAAATGCCTGTGTTCGTTAAGTTTTACGGAAAGAGGAGTAAAACTAGTTCGTCTTTAAAGTCAATTCATAGGGAACCAAGTCTTAAGACGAGTCATTTGAAAGAATGAAATACCCCGGCCTGAAATACATGATTTAAATTTAAGACGCTCGTCAGTATGGACAGGACTTGTATGTTTTCGGCGGAAGCACATATCGGATAGATGAGAAACCCTTGACACATGCAGAAAGTTACATCATGTAACAGGAGATATGAGCCATTATTAAAGCGAAATCACATTATCTTTGAACTCAAGCGTCCAAGAATCTCGTGCCATAAAAACGCCTGTACGAACAAAACGTCCTCAGTCATTTCTGGCCGGTCTCCCTTATCTTTGAAGCAGCGTTTTCCCGGGATAAATTTGAACAAGGTGAAGGCGACAAAGCATGCAGAATTTATTGACGTCATAAATTTCGAGACCTCTCATTCAGCTGGCACTGCCATGGTAATTATCGATTATGGACGAAACCCTGTTCCCATGTATGCCCTCTCATTTCGCCCCCACCCGCCCCCCTCTCCCCGGCATGACTGAATGCTCCCCGCACGTTGCACTCCAAATCACGCCGCACCAGTTCTCTCATACTTGGATGACTTCTCTCCCCCTCCCCCCCCCTCACTATATGCACCCTCATACTAGACCCACGTTTCAGTTTACCTATCACGTTTAAGCTCTCTAGGTCGATCGTTGATTGAAAAGTTTTGCCTTGTAATATAACTATGCAATGACCGTGTGCAGCTGAATGAGAGGTCTCGAAATTTATGACGTCATTAAATTCTGCATGCTTTGTCGCCTTCGCCTTGTTCCCTTATCTTTGTTGGTACTCCGCCCGAACGATTATTTGTCGGCATACGACTGCCTGAGAGGGCTCTGGATTGAGGCACAAGGTGCAAATGAACAAGGATGCCTCGTAACTGATCGGTGGACACTCTTCCACCATAGGAAGCTGTTATTAGTGGTCGCGTAATTTGGTAGGAATTCCATCCTTTAAGTACTGGGACCGCCTGTAAGTCCACTGCCCTGTTCTACTGCTGCATTTTTTAACCCAGAAACGTCAGGGGAACAAACTTCACGCTCCGAAGATTGAGTT